CTACTGGAAGGGGAGACAGGACAATTATTGAACACATACTTTTCACTGGACTGGCTGGGTCCTTGGAACGTTCAGGGGTGTAATCCTTTCAAAGTTGAAGAATGGAATCCCCATCTAGCCAGTTGTTGGAGGGAGGAAATGGTTGGACTACTTTTGCTGATATAGGTCAATCCAATAAATGTTACCCCGATTTCCAAACTGAGGAAGTCTGCTGATTTATTTGAAGAAAAGCAGGAGCCCAACACTGAACCCTCCCAATTGTCTATGGGATGCACTGGAACACCAAATCTGATCCATGGAGGCCCCAGCTCACAACTTGCAGGACTTAAAGGATCCACTGCTAATGGCTAAATGGATAAAGAGGATAGAGGGAAGCTCTTTTCCCCTTTCACACAATACTAGAACCAGGGGATATCCCATCAAATTGAGTGTTGGGAGGGTGAGAGCAGAATTTTTTAAACTAGTTTGTTGTTAGTCAGTGGAACTCCTTGCCACAGGACATGGTGATGGCATCTGGCCTAGATGCCTTTAAAAGGGGCTTGGACAGATTTCTGGAGGAAAAGTCCATCTCAGGTTACAAGCCTTAATGGGGATGTATAATCTCCAGGCTTAGAAGGAAGGTACCTCCAAATGCCAGATGCAGGGGAGGGGTCTCCTGACAGATGTCTTGTGTGTTCTGAGAGGCATCTGGTGGGCCCCCTGTGAGATACAGGAAGCTGGACTAGATGGGACCTTAGCAGGGCTCTCCTTATGTTATGTCTTGGTGCCATATATCACGGGACACATTCAGAGGGAGGTCTCATGGAGCCCATGCCTTCATGCATCAGAGCTGTTTCAGTAACACAAGGGGGACCTATGATGGTTTTAATGGTGTTGCAGATCAGTGTACATGCAGCACAGGTATATCACTGTATCATATTCCACCTTTCTGAGCAAACTGGCCACTTAAAGTGGTTAGTCCTGAAGAATGCCAAGGCCCGCCCCTACCCTCGCTGCCATGTACAGTATTTGTGTTACCACCTTTGGACGGTGGCACGACATTCTGCCACTCTCTCTAAAGAGTCACTGGCATGTCTCTAAAAATCGATCGACTCCTCTCCGCAGCCTTGGGAAGCCGCCTCAGTTTTGCAGCCCGCCTGGTCCAGGCCCTAGCAGTTTGACGGTAATGGGACACGCTCCGTGAGTGCCCGGCCGCCACCTACTCCGTGGGCGCCCCAACTTCCGGGGCTCATGGGGCTCGGGCGACGCTTTCCCCAAGGGCCGAGTTCACGACGGCTGCAAAACGCTCACGGGTATTTAAAAAAAAGACAGGAAAACCCCTCCAGAAAACCAATACCCGGCTTCGAAGTAACCCCGGCTTCGTCCTGCACTGGGAACAGGGGATGCTCACCGACAAGTATTTAAAAACACACGAATGCAAAGATTTTGTAGAGCAACAGCCCTCGGAGCACTCAGCATCCCCTGGTGCCTTCCCGGATATAAAAGCTAAATATATATATATTTAGCTTTTATATCCGGGAAGGCAAACATCTCACAGTGCCGTGGATTACAAAACGGGCTCGGCAGACGCTTCTTTCGGAAGCGAGCGCAAGGCTCTCCCAACCTGCAAAGCCTTCCCCGAGGAATTGCAATCAGCGCCGCCCCCGTCCCAGTTCTGCCCCTGCGCGCGAAAAGAAAGCGACCGGGAACCAGCCAATGGCGTCTGGTTTGGAGGCGCGTGGCCTCTATATAAACAGACCGCGCGCTCTTCTTTCTGTTAGCTGGGCTAGTCGGATGGCCGTTGCGATGGGGTGGGTTTTTCTTCTTCTTGGAAGGCCGGGCCGGGCTGGGGATTGTGGTGCACTTGGCTACCCTTCGTTATTCGCTTCTCCTCACGGCCTGTGGAAGCTTTCCTCTTCTCCCACATAATCCGGTGTGAGGAGAGGGATGTAGCCGGAGGGGCGCGAAAGAGGGCTTGATGTGGGAGAGGAGGGGCGCCTTCCCAGGGATGTGGCCGAGACGAGCGCTTCCTTATCGTTCAGGATGCATTTTTGAGAGCGTGGGTGTGAAGGTTAGATTTTGGAGGTCGCTCATCCGTAGGGGTGCCATAAGTTGGAGGCTTATGAAGGCCAGGTCCAGCTGCGTCTGAAGACTCCCCTCCTTTTTTGGCGGGGGTCTGTCGCAGCCGGTTATTCCCGTCCAAACGCTCCCCCTCGGTGCTCAAGGGAGCAACAGCCTTCCTGGGGCTTGAACTGTGGCATCCTTATTTCGCAGTTGTATCCCACTTTCCCATAAAAATGCCCCAAGGTGGGTAGCAACATCTTGCATTTTCCTGGTTGGGCCCTTGTGGTTGAATAGGCCCCCCTCAAAAAGTCTGTCCTAAGACCTGTAGAGTTGACAGAAAACGCCCATTTCTATCTTTCTCTCTTCAGAAGGTGCAGCTGTTGGAATATCGTTTGCATTCTAGGTTTGTATGTAAGACGGTCGTGTGACAGTTTAGGCTGGAGTCCTGTAAGTTTCTTGGCAGAAAGAAAGCAATGTAGAAGATATTTCTGAAGTTTGAAAGTCATTGTTCTAATGCAGTGGTATGAACTCTCTGCCACAGATTACCATTTCCACCAGTATGAAATACTGTACTCTAAAAGTCTGGTTTGGAAGTTGCTTCATAACATGGCTCTTAAGATTTCAGTGAATGTGTTAGGTAGCTGTTAGGATTTATGCAGCAACTTTGATAATTCTAAGGTACAGTATTAAAAATAAAGACATAATGGGAATAAATAACTAAATAAAGACTTGAATGGGAAGAATTGTGATCCATCACGTAAAAATGCTTTCAGCTCAACATCCAAAGTACATTGGAGATAAATACTTAAACAAGTGACATTCTTTAAAGCAAATAATGTGGTTTTCCAGACATTGGACAGCAACTGCCATTCCTCATCACTGACTATGCTGATCAGGATTGATGACTGCAGTCCGACAGCATCTGGAGGAGGACCACACTGTCTTCATTCCTACTTTAAAAGAATTGGCACTGTTGATTCTAAATTAGCTGAGTACTGTACATTAAATTAATATTAGTTCACCATTGCTATGATCTGAAGAGCTATAAACTCCCACTTCAGGAGAATTTTGCATCTGTGTCTCTTGAACACCTGCTAGCACAGAAGTTCCTTGGAGTCATTTGGGCTATGGAATGGAGGTTGCTGTTCAAGAATATGGGCTCAACCTAAGTATGTGTAGCTCTTGGTTTTCTTAAAATTGTTGTTTGGTTCACACTCAGTAAGTTTACATAAGGAGGAGCTTGGGCTGTGTTCTTTTATTTACTTGCCTTGGATTACGTCCTACTGAATTCATTTGGACTTGTCGGAAGTAGATAGACAGTATACAGGATTATATTGTTCAGATACCGAGCAAGATGAGATGGCTGATAATGCCAACAAACAATATAAGCATTTGAGAAGTTACATTTTGGTTAGGATTAGAGTATAAATTTTGCCAATGAAGTCTTCAGTCACTTAACTATTCCTATGAATGTCTCCTTTTCTTGCTTTTTAGGAATTATAATTGACATATTCTTGACCCATCTCAAGTATGTCATGCTGCCTTACTTGAATAAACATACTCATCCTGAATTTTCTTCATGGCCATGTTTTCAAAGAAATTACTCATCTTATGAACCAGTCATTTATTCAGTGGTGCCTTTTTATTTTCACCCAAGTGTATATTTATCCACACCTGAAATGTATAATCTTGGGGCAACCACTCTCTCGCCTGTGGCTTTTAATCAGCATCAAACTGAAAGAAGTTGTAAAAGTTACTATAGATATACTCCTGCTGAAATGAATGACTGCAGAATAGAGGTTCTAGAGAAGACTAGTACAGTTCATAGTTTTTCAGGTGAGCCAATTTTACTTCTCAGTAGTTCAGCAATGTTTGTCATAATTTTGTGACTGTATGTTATGAGTTATTTTGTCTTCTTTAAATTAGCTTTTTAGAATGTCTTACTAACCAGAAAGGTGAGCTGTTTTTTAAGAATAGTGTAGGAAATCCACTGACATTGGCTTGTAAATAATTGATTCCATAAATTTTAAAGAATTATGTTTTAATAGTTGCACCACCTACATTACTTTGGAAAAGTAGTAAATTCGGATGCATTAAAACTCCAGTGAGATCCTTGTACGTTTACATTTTTTTAATTTTTATCTGGGTTATAAAGAGGTGTATATTGAGGAAAAATTGGTTGTTTGTGATAGTCGTTAAGCAATGCATTTTTTATTTTACAAGGGAAGAACATGCTAGGTATGTATTGTGTTGTGATTCAGAACTTGAAAGATTTTCAAACGGTGTAGTGTGTCTCTCCTTGGGGGCACAGAATACCTGTATAGTAGAACTGCATACTGTGGAGTAGGTGGCTTGTATCCTCTTCTGATGAAATTGTATTCAAGTAAGTTATGCCGTGTAGGGTGATGCTGTCATCAACTGGGACAATTTTTGGGAGAAATTAAACATTTCCTACTGAGAATCCACTGATCCTTTTCATCAAGGGAGACCCATGGAGCTGTGGGACAGGAAAAGAAAATCTTTAATTACAGAAAATTAGTATTGTTGGGATAATTCCAGTTAAGAAGCCCCAATGTTTTTAAGTATGGTACTTGCTGACTGAAAGCAGACAGTCCTGGCAGTTTTTTTTCACATGCAGCAAAGAACAGGTTAAGCAGCTTTAAAAATACTGGCCAAAATCTTGTTCCACTAAATAGTCTCATTAAATCAATGTAGATCTACTGCGTCAATTCCTTCATAAATTCCACTGATTGAAATAGACGTGACTGACTTTAGCACAGTAAATCACAATTAGAGTTGTTTAGTTGTTTTCGTCACCCCATGGACCAGAGGACGCCAGGCCCTGTTGTCTTCCACTGCTTCCCGGAGTTTGGTCAAAACAGTTAGAGAAGGTCCTTTTAAATCAGTAGAACTTACAGAGTACTGTAGTTGACTCATTAAGTTCTCATTGATTCAGTGGACCTATTCTGTTGCAGTTAACTATGTTAACTGGATTTTGGCTATTATGTCCTAAAAACTTAGAAAAATTCTATTTTTTCTAATCAATCTTCTCCTAGGTCCACTGTCATTTCCCCCCTTTTTTTTCATAAAGAGCTTACATAAAGAGCTGTCTGGTGTGGATAGAATGACACACTTCAGCTTTCCTTTTGACTCTGGAATGGGTTGCTATATGACAGATATGGTTTGAGAGCACATGGTAAAGTTGTATCATTAAATCTGATAGTTAAGAAACAACTGGTACCTTTTAAAAAATGTAGCAGAACCAAATTTTAAAAGAATCTTATGATGTAAAAAGAGCTTTTTTATACAGCACAAAACTTGTTGAAATTAGTATTCTGACTAGTGTTTTGCCTTTAAACAGGGCAAAAAGCAATGATTAGATCTTGCGGATTATCTTCAAGTAGTTCTGAGAAGAGTAGATTTAGTGATGATGCAGTTCAGCTGATAGCTTCAAATGACCATTCTGATGCTAAGATCATGGAACAGAGGAAAAGCAGCGCTGAAAGAGATTACTACAAATCCACAGTCTTGAATGCTTCCCATAAGCAAGGATGTTGTGAAAAAAATGAGATTAATAATATCTCTGGTGAATTTAATGCAAGAACTAGCTGCTCTGTTTTAAGCCAGTCTAGTTATTTAAGTGCCTTAGATTTAAACCTGACAAAAGAAAACATGAGCTCCCCACCTGGCGAAGAACTTGAACCTGCAGAGAAAGAGCAAAAGAAAGGTTCCATTCTACCAAAAGATGCAGATGAAGAAGATGTTGTTATCTTGTACACTGATGCAGACTTTTCCCAGTTCAATGACAGTGAAGCTGATGAATACAAATACAGTGATTTAGACAATGACTCACAACTAGAATATCACAGTGCTGAAGAAGAAGGCTGTGTTTGTCATGGCTCCTCATATAAGCAAGAAACAAAGACTTTAGAAACTTTTCAAAATAAAAAGTTGGCAAATGAGGATAAGCTTACAGGTGGGCAGCAATATTTTAACAAATTGGAAAACGAGTCTTCTAATTCAGGTTCTAATACTTTTGGTTACTATTTCAGTAAAATCCCAGAACTCCCCCATGTGTTTCAAGATGGCAAATGTAGTGCAAGCAACCATTTAAGTTCTGATGATCAAGGAAGAGATGAAACAATTGGAACGTTTTATACTGTTGTTAGTGAAGATTCGTTTATTGCCGAGGATAATAAAGGAAAAAATCCAGAATCATTCTCAACAAGTAAGACTGTGATTGATGAAAAGGTGATAGCAAATTGTCTTACAGACACAACACAGACATCTGTAACAGCTACTAATAGAGAATTGTGTAAGCAGACTGATTACAGCCATATAGCTGTTTTTCAGAAGACTGGAAATTCGCATCTATTGCTTGAGGAAACAGCTTTTTTCCCACCACCCCATACTTTTGGTGGTGATCCTGAAGTGTCAGCTAATGTAATTGTAGCTAGTGCTAAAGAACGAAGTACTTACAAATCCTGTGGTCATTGTGGAAAATGCAAAGAGAACTTTCCTAACTCAGAATTAAAATGCATCACATACTTAGATAATACTGCTAGTAAAAACCAAAGCACAGTTAATCAAGCTGTTGATGCAAGTTCTGATTTTAGAGCATGTTTTACAACAAGTCGAGCAACAAATGTGAACGTTCCTGTAATCTCAAGGGGACAAAACACTATGATAACAATGATGAGCAAGTGTAGACCCAAAGAGTGGCTCACAAAAAACTACAGAAGTGTTGCTTGCAATACAGATTGGTCGTGCGTATCTGGCAATGTGGATATGATTGACAAAGAGTGGCTCACAAAAAGCTACAGAAGTGTTGCTTCCAATACAGATTGGTCGCATGCATCTGGCAATGTGGATATGATTGATTCACAAATAGCATTTGAAAACTATACTGCAAAATATGGATGGCAGTTAAAAAACAAGGTATGTTGGAAAAGTTTATCTGTTTTTTAATTATACATTGTGCTCAAAACAGAGTAAGATCCACCAGTGTACAGTGTAAGTAGATGTCTAGTCAATTCTTTTATTGAGTCAAAGGTAGTTTTGGAGCAGTAAAGAAATAGGTTTAACATAGAATGGAAGTCCTTGCCTGGCAAAATTTTCTCCATCAGCATTGACATAAGAAGTTGCAAGTTTTCTCATTTGTGAGATTGTTTTTTCTGCAAGTTGCCCAAAATTGCCATAGTTGCTGTCTTGTTGCTTTAGGAAATAGATTCACTGGATGGGTTTGTATGTTTTTGATCGATCATGCCAGTACTGTTTTAACAATGGGCATGTGGGTATGTTAAGATTCACAAACCAAAAAAAAAACCCCACTCGTTTTTCTCAAAATTTGGACACTTCAGTGGAAAAGCATGCTTTTCGTGTCATTCTAAGAACTCCCATGGAGGATAGCCACAACCAAAAATGAGAAAATAACAAGAATTAAGCATTTCCCTAGTTCCAGAAGGCTAGTGACTTTAGCTAAATTTGCACTTCAAACCATGCTAAGTTAGTGGATAATGTTTTCTAAAATCTGTTCTTCCAGGATCTTTTGGAATCCAGAAACAGCACTAGCAAAGATTTCAGTGAAATTCCAGAAAGGTATGATAGATCTTCAGATTCTATGTGTATGTCTAACAGTTATGCTGTATCATATAGTTACATTTTAAGATCCCAAAGAGCATGTGATGTGGACCCTGCAGATATGAAACAGAGTGGATAAATGATTTCTCACTAATTTTTCCTTCCTTAGTGGAGAGAGGGGTTTGGCCAATTATCTTTTGTTCTTTCCTTGATGTAAACATAACAAGAATTGTCTAATTCCCATATTATAATGTTCAAATTAAGTTATTTCTCTTTTAAAAGCATGATGCAGCTTTCACAAGAAATAGCCAGTCATGCACCAAATTGCTGTAAGGAAATATGGCAGAGAGCCATTCAAGCTGAAATGCAGCTTCTGAAAATGCGCTATCAGTTACATCATCAGCACTTCTGGCAGAATTGCAATTCTGTTACTGAAGAAAAGGAACATCTAAACAGGTTTGTATGAAATTCTTCAATTATTTTTTTCTGCAGTGGAAGACAAAAGGCTATAACTAGGTAATAAAACCCTTTCTATTCACTGCTAGTATAAACATGCAGACTGCAATCATGTATTTTTACTCAGAAGCTCGTATTATGTGCAGTGTGATTTATTCTGGGGTATTTATATTATTTATACAATTTCATTTATTACTGTATTCACTGACACTTAGTACATTAGGTCCCCTGTATCCACTGAATACAACCATGGGTGTCAACTCTTTCAGTTATAGATCCATTCCTTGGGTCCAGGCCAGGTTTTCAGAATGCCTGGACCCAATAGGAGGTGGGGAAGAACTCCCCCCACAGGGTAGACAGGATTCTCCTTGTTTCTTCCCTCTCACTCATGGTCTCCCAGGCACAGGCAGGGTTGGTCCTTTGGTCAAAGGGAAGCATGGAAACTCCAATCGTGGCTTCTTCTGACAACCCAAAATGGCTGTGATCACACCAGGAACTGAAGAGATTGGGTAAAAAGGCGTGGCAATGGCAGCTCTACGGTGGGGACTGCACTCCCTAGGCAGGGAGCTCTATTGCCCATGTGGAAGGAACTGGAGGAAGAGAAAGGCTCAGCCAGCTTCCACCCTTCCCCTGCCTCAATTGCTTGCTCCCGATCCCTCTCCATCAATGTACCCTCTAATTTTCAGCCCCGCTGGGCAGGGCTCTCTTGCGACTCTGCCCCCTGCACGTTGGTTTCTGTTGCAACTGGAACCTAATGCGATTGTTGTTTGGAGTAGGAAGACAGCTGCACGGAGGGAAGTGGATTTGTGCACACACGCATCCAGCTTATGTACCTCCCCTCCATTCAGATTGTGAATGGATTCATGAAATTCATTTACCAGATATTTCAAACATTGCATGAATATACAGCCTCATGCTACATAATTAAAAACTAATCATTTCATGAATAATTTTTGGACTGTAATTTATTCTAGATAGAACACTAACTGTAGGTAGATTTTTCCTCAAAAATCATTTTATTTAGAAAATGCAATTTAAAATTTAAAGAACTGTTTTTTTTTTATTTTTTAAAAGTCATTGATTTTTATTCACCCTGTTTTAATGATTATGTGGGATAGGTATTAAGGTATAATAATGTATCAGTGTACCTGTGTCATGAGTAGGGTGGGATTTAGGTACAGCTTCAGGCTAATTTTTATTTATATTTTTGTTGTTCCTTTTGCTTCAAGCCACTGGTTGTTAAACTTGGCTCTCTGAATGTTGTTGGACTACCGTTCCCAGTATCTCTCTGACCGCTGGCCATGCAGGCTGAAATTTGTGGTTTCTGACTGTGCTGTTTTAAACCAAATACATCTTGTCTTTTGGGGATAATCAGACTAATTACATTGTTCTTTTAAAATGAAAGATGTGAGGAAAAATAAATAGGTCTATTAAACCTTCCTTTGTTTTGCCCCATATCATAGCTGGTACCATTTCAGAAGTAATGCTTTCCTATTGCGTAAAACAAAAGGAACAGTTACTGTTCTGAGAAAATACTTGCCACTCCTGGGTTTCTGAATATACAGTACCAGGTTTGGGAGGCTATGAGTAATAAGTAATTTCTTCAAAAGAGCTATTGGTTATTAATAATTTTGAAGTGTCCATAGGTATTTTAAAATAACCTATAATGGGGAGGTTCCTAACACTTATGAGCATGGCTGTGAGGACTGATATGAAATATTAACGTTTTAGACACTGCATTTGAAATAAGGCGTAAAAGCAGAAATGATTGGAGCATGCAGGGTTTTGAAAGATGGAAGCAAACGGATGGAAGGAGAAAAGTTCTAGAGGAAAGTATAGCATTCCTTTTTTTTTTCTAATCAGGTGGCCCACAACATTTTGTTATAAAGGAAACATCTCAGATGTCAAGCCATGCTTGAAATGACTGTTACACCAGGAAAGAGGTGGACAGTGTTTTCATAGTCTAGGTAAAGGTTCCCTTGACATTTAGTCCAGTCGTGTCCGACTCTAGGCCGCGGTGCTTATTCCTGTTTCCAAGCCATAGAGCCAGCGTTTGTCCGAAGAGTTTCCCTGGTCACGTAGTTAGTGTGACTAGACAAGGAACGCCGTTACCTTCTCACCGAGGTGGTACTTATTTATCTACTTGCATTTTTACGTGCTTTCAAACTGCTAGGTTGTCAAGAACTGGGACAAGCGACGGGAGCTCACTCCGTCGCCTGGATTCGATCTTAAGACTGCTTGGTCTTCTGACCTTGCAGCACAGAGGCTTCTGTGGTTTAATCCACAGCGCCACCATGTCCCTTTTTTTCAAAGTCTAAAACAGCATAAAATAGCAGGTTTTCTAAGATCTGTCTTCACATAGCCATGGAAACGTATCATCCATTATTTTCAAAGAAATCTTCAGCATAATGGAATGTGTAAAAAGGAGCCCTGACACTGAAAAGTCCTTAATGAGTTACCTGTTGTGTAATATAGCCTGCTAGAGATACACCATACACTCGGATACTACTGAGCATCAAGGCCCTGTCTAGCGGGTTTTATGTATGCAAAGCACAGCTTCTCCATGTTAGTACAGAAGTACAGAAGCAAAAGACTTGTGATAAAGATTACTGTTAAGTGAAGAGGGACAAGGCAATGGCTAGAAAGTTTTTAGCATACCTAATCAGTGAATATACATTGGGTTAAAATGTCAATGCTTTATTTTTCAGTTCTCCTTGGACAGGAAACTTGATGTCACTAATGTCATGGCCACAGAATGTGGAAACATCTTCACACCCATTAGTGAGTCTTTTGGATATTTATTTCATTAACTTATGAATGATTTAAGAATTTTAAAATGGATTATTTTGAGGAGAGGTTCTATATTCTTACGTATTCACACAAAGCAGTATGTATGTCTGTGTGTAGAAGCACATGCGTGCACCCACCTGTTTCTAGTTCAGGAGTATAATTTGGTCAATACTGATACTGTGCATCTGAATTTGCATTGACAATATCACTGGATTGTTTGCTTATCACAGGCATGTTTCGAAGTGTGTGCATACACTTTTCTGAGCTTCACAGAGGACTTGCCTATCTCAGGCTAGCAGTTATTTGAGACGTCATGTAGGCAAGATCCACATTTTTTACCCTCTGGAAGACACTCTTCCCTTCCCCCCACAAGCCTTGCCTAATAAACGTAGCATCTGAGTGACTGAAACTCCTGAGAGAGCCCAGTTCAAAAACACATTATTTATTTTTTTAAAAAAACTCTAGCATCTTCTCTTTTTTCCTTATCATTTCTTGCCTGACAGATCCAGGACAGAGGAGAGGGCCAGTTAGGAGACTGTCTTACCAAAGCAATATGGATGCAACAATAGCAGCTCCAGTGACTGGAGCAAATCTTAGCAAGAATCCATTCCCTGCCAACCGTGACTAGCAAGCACAAGGGCCAAAAGAGATCCTGGAGTGTCTTACTCCAGTCAAGCAAAAGGGCCACAGAAGCCCACAAATGCTCCAATTCATCCTTACATCATCTCCTGTCCAGCAGATCAAGAGGAGAAGATGAACTGCTCAACTGCTAAAATTACCAAGATGGAGGAAGCTGATGGTGACAGCATAGAGAAAGGCCAGAGCACCTGTTCAGGCAGCATGCAAAACCAAATTCAGCATAGTGCTAAAATGGAGCAGACTTAATAAAAAACATGTTTGCCTGGACATTCCCAAAGCAGGAACACAGTTTGGGATGATATAAAATAAACAGTTCTGAGATCACTCGGGTACCCATTAGAGCCAGAGGAGGAGGCTTATCACAACAGGCATCAGTTGTTTCTCCTGAAAAGGGACAGCAACAAATGTTGCTCCATATGTCAAGCTATACATAGAGATAGGAAGAAATAAGGAAGAAAGGTCTGACTCCAGCGAATAACCATCAAACTTACATGGGCTCTCATCTAGTTTTTCCATATACAGTGGTACCTCACATTATGATGTTAATTCGTCCTAGCGAAATTGCTGTAGAACGAAAATGTAATACGAAAAGAAAAAACCCATTGAAACGCATTAAAACCCATTTAATGCGTTCCAAAGGGCTGTAAACTCACTGTCCAGCGAAGATCCTCCATAGGGCGGCCATTTAATCTGTCCCAGAAAACAGCGGGGGGCCATTTTGTTTACCTGGCGGCCATTTTGAAACTGCCTATCAGCTGTTGGAAAGTTGTTGTTTTGCGAAAAATCGGTTCCCAGAGCAAGGAACCGATCGCAAAGCGAAATTCCCCCATAGGAAACATTGTTTTGCGATCGCAAAAAGTTCATCGTAATGCGGTTTCATCGTTAAACGGGGCAATCGTAAAGCGAGGCACCACTGTACCACAAGAAAAGCCCACTTTCTTAAATCTCCAAAATTATTTCTCAGTCAAAGGAATTGGTACCAAATATGGGAAAGAAAAAAGAAAGAATGCATGATGTTATCCTCTTCTAATCAAGTATACATAGAACTATTCCAGTCATAAGGATGCAGAAGATCTGAAGAAGTTCTAGAATGTTCAGCCTATCAAGAATATCTTTTTCACCAATCCTTATTTTCAGCTGTACCACCCAAAGTATATAAGGTTCTTTTGTTCACAGACTTTCACAAGCCCAGTCAGATGAGCAAACACTTTTGGGGGCCAAACCTTCATTCCTTATTGGTTCACACATATTCATGACTCTTGCCTTTCTGAATCTTGGGCAATATACACTGTATCCAGCAATATAATGCAGGTTCATTTGCTGATGGTCTTACTGTGTTTAAAAGGGATGTGGTGGCACTGTGGGTTAAACCATGGAAGCCTCTGTGCTGCAAGGTCAGAAGATCAGCCGTTGTAAGATCGAATCCACGCAATGGAGTGAGCTCCCGTCGCTTGTCCCAGCTCCTGCCAAACTAGCAGTTTGAAAGCATGTAAAAATACGAGTTGATAAATAGGTACCACCACGGTGGGAAGGTAATGGCATTCCGTGTCTAGTCGTGCTGGCCATATGACCACGGAAACTGTCTTTGGACAAACGCTGGCTCTATGGCTTGGAAACAGGGATGAGCACCACCCTCTAGAGTCGGACACGACTGGACTAAATATCAAGGGGAACCTTTACCTTACTGTATTTACTAGGAGCTAGGAAATAAGTTACAATTTTCAAGAAGTTTATAGAGCAGCTCTCTAGATTTGACAGTTCATCAAGGAACACAGGTCTAGTATAGTATTCTCAATGGTAATTGTGTTACCCAGACACATCGCTGAGTTGGACATCCATTAGCTGCACAATTACACATTTCCCCCACAATTAGGGTGACCCCTAGAGTGAACCTTTCCTTTTTACTTAATGTTCATTCTTCCTTCACATTGTTCAATAAATATCCCAATGTTCATTTTGCCTTAATCCTTCAGCAAGAGAAGTGGAGGTGTCATAAACTATATGTTTTTACTTGGAAGAAGAACTGGTATTTAAGAAGTCTGCTCTAGTGTTCTTTCATGGTTGATTTGTATGGAGAGAGAGTAGCAAAGGCTACTGTCTCCTGCTTTAGAGATAACACTCTTGAGATACCCTGGGAAAATAATAACGTGGCATTTAGTACTCCTGGCCTGTGGAAAGCAGCTACTTCAGCGCCTCTCAAGATAATTCTCCAAGTAGAAGAAATCTGTGGAGCTGCAACATGGACATTAGTACATTCATTTTCTAAACATGATGAGGTTGAGATATCCTAATTGGCTTAGCAGCTTATGAGATGGTGTGTCTTTCAGAATGTGATAACTGTGACAAACACGGTTCCCTAGAGAACGCGTGAATGCTCGGACAGAGAGTAATCAGGAGATTGTACGCCCTAAAATGTGCTGAGAGAGTCCCAGAGCTCAGCTAGGCGTGTCAAAGCTCCCTTTTACAAGTCTGCTCTAATAAGAACACCCTTGTAACTTTGAATATTGCTGATAGAAAACCATGTGGGCTTTGTAGTCCTTAGACTTCTTATGCACCACAGGCAGGACTCATTAAGTATGCAAGGCCGAGGCAAGCACCATCAGATGACCTATGACAAGTTTACTGTTCAGGAAACCAATTGATTTTTATAATCATTATTTTATTAAAGAATAAGTAAGTTCCTTAAAGAAAAAGTCAAATTATGCAAAAGCAAACAAACATTATGCTGGTTAATTACTAACTTGTAGTGGGGCAAAGAAAACATGAAAAATATCTAAGTGTCCAAAAACATTAAAATAATTCAAAAAGTCAAGAAAATGAATAAAAACAGTTCCCATAAGGAAATCCATCAGGAAAACAAAATAATCCAATTATGTAAGATAAAGTCCATAGTCCTTAATAATCCTGTAAATGAAAAATTCTGTACAAAAGGAAAAATCCTGTAAAAGAAAATATCCCATTGTCCTGAGAATAATCCACAAGAATACAGTGGGGTCTCTACTTAAGAACTTAAACCGTATTGGAAGGTTGTTCTCAAGTTGAAAAGTTCTTATGTTGAATCTGCATTTCCCATAGGAATGCATTGAAAACTATTTAATCCGTATCTGCTCTTTTCCGTCCATAGAAACTACAGTGGAACCTCTACTTAAGAACTTAATCCGTTTTGGAATGGTGTTCTTAAGTTGAAACGTTCTTAAGTTGAAGCAAAATTTCCCATAGGAATGGACTGAAAACCAATTAATCCGTTCTGGCTGTTTTTTTGTTATGTAGAGGTGCGTTCGTACATTGAAGCATTAGTTCCCATAGGAACTAATGCAAAGCTGGTTAATACGTACTCTACCACTAGGGGGAGAATTTTTTTTAACCTAAGATGACCTAAGGTTAAAAAAAGAGCAGGAAAGGTTTTTTTTCCTGTTCTTATCTTGGATTTCTGTTCTCAAGTAGAAGCAAAATTTAGCAAATGGAGCTGTTCTTAAGTTGGATTGTTCTTAAGTAGGGACGTTCTTAAGTAGAGACCCCACTGTAGTCCATAGTAGTCCATAGGAATAGTCCATGAAAAGAGTCAAGAATATTCCCTGAGTGCGTGTATGAGTAATCCATGTGTGTAGGCCATGGGTGACCTAGGAGTAGGTCATGAAAGACTTAAGGGTGGGTCACGAAAGACAATGTCCATAGGTAAAAGTTCCTTTTTCAAGAGTAACTGGTAGGTCCTTATCTGCTCCTTCCCACGATGTCATCCAATCACAGTCCGTCGTTAGGCAAACAGTCCTGTTGTACCACCTGACCTCTCTCTCATGGGTAACAGATGTTATTTGGGTTTCTGTGGTTTTGCGAAGAGTCACAACAATACCCATCTATCTTATCACAAAGTTCCTTCTCATGCTCTCAGAAAAGCATTCTCCCAGCTCTCACTAGCAAACAACCTGTTAACATTGCAAAGATCCCTTATACAAAGAAACAAGATGGAACCTCTCTTGCACATTTCTTAATTACAAAACCCATGTTCAATACAAGATTTTAATCACATATCCCATCTCATCACAATAACCAAAGAGCAAGCTGATTTTCAGGACCCTGCCTGTAGTCTGCAAGGCCTTTGCTATACCTGAAGGTGGAGAAATGCAGTCCATGGGAATCAGGAGAGGATAGAAATTTCTTAGCTTGAGTTTCTGATTTTTTAGTTCCATTGAGGATATTCAGTTTATCTTTACTTCCACAATTGCTACTTGAGAGTAAAAGTTGTGTTCTCTTACCACACATCTGGGACTGATAGTTTCCCAGGCATGTTCAGGTTCTACCATCTGTGTTCTGTTAATGGGCCTGATATTTACAATGATGCCTTAGGTTCCACTATGTGGCACTAGTTGATACATGAATTACCTCATTATAATGCATACAGCAAAGAGTTAAGTAGCAATCATGTTCTTGCTCTTTCAATCTGGCCTGGAAAACAAGATGGCTTCCTTCCTGGGAGGCACTTCAAGATGTGAACTGTGCCAGGAAAAGGCAGCATCCTGAGAAGAACTATGTCCTCTCTGCAATTCAGAGAACAAATTCATGATAACGGGTAACATTTCAGACTTTTGTTTCAAACTGGTGAATTCCTTAGCTGCCTTTTCTGCTTTGAAATCAAAAGAGCAATATTCATAGAATCATAGGAAAGTGAAGTTGGAAGGGGCCTACAAGGCCATCAAGTCCAGCCCCCTGCTCAAGGCAGGAATACAGTCAAAGCATAGATTAACTTAGATAATCACCTGTCAGATGATTAAGTTTTTCTTGAATGCCTCCACTGTTGGAGCACTCACCAACTCCCAAGGTAACTGGTCCCACTGTTGCACTTGAAGTTTTTCCTGATATTCAACCAAAATTTGGCTTCCTTTGAGCCCATCGTTGCGTGTCCTGCACTCTGGGATGATCGAGAACAAATTTTGTCCCTCGTCTGTATGACGGTTTTTCAAATGTTTGAAAAGTGCTATTATATCACCCCTCGGTCTTCTTTTCTCAAGGCTAAACATGCCCAGTTCTTTCAGCCTTTCCTCATAAGGCTTGGTTTCCAGCCCCATGATCATCCTTGTTGTCTCCTCTGAACTTGTTCCAATTGGTTAGCATCCTTCTTGAAGTGTGGTGTCCAGAACTGGACACAGTCCTCCAGGTTGAGGCCTAACCAGTGCTGAATAGAGGGGAACTGACACCTCACAGGATTTGGAAACTATACTTCTATTAATGCAGCCTAATAGCATTAGCCCTTTCTGTAGCAACATCACAATGTTGGCTGATGTTTAGCTTGTGGTCTACGACAATTACAAGATGCTTCTCATAGTTTTGTTGAGCCAGGTATTCCTCCATCTTGTAACTATGCAATGGGTTTCTTTTTCCGAGGTGCAGTACTTTGCACTTATCTCTGTTGGATTTCATTGTTGCTTTCGGCCCAGTGCTCCATCCTATCAAGGTCATTTTGAATTCTGTTTCTGTCTTCTAGGGGTATTAGCTATTCTAGTAGTACCTCTCTGGGAGAAGCTCCAAGAGGGCAAAAAATGTTTGCCACAAAAAGTGATCCTTGGAATTATAAGCTAAGAATACATTCTTCTAAATGTAAGCTGATCTGTATGTTAAGAAACTTGGGCTGAAAAGTTGTTCTGCTGAACAAATCTTGACAAAAATGCAGTACTGTTGAAAACAAACTAAATCTGTGTATCTTAATAGGTTACACATGCATTGAATGAGAATAGTTGTCCTCAGCTGTGCCTTTCCAACACGAACTCTGAAGAAAGAGGTACAAGTCTTGTGGAAAATAGTAAGTCCATCCTCGATCTAGAAATATGAAGTCGTATTCTAATGTTATGCCATGACTATATGAATTCTAGATGTCAAGTGCTGTTTCCATTTTCATTATTTGTACTATTAATTCAGTATTTTATAATGGGAACTAGAAAAACGAAGTCTGACTCGTAGGCTAAAATCCTGTTGATAATTTATGCATGCATACGTTAAGCTATTGAGCTCATTGTGGTAAATTGCCACTAACCAACAGTGCACAGGTTGTGTGCATCAGCATATGTCTCGTAATGTGACTGATGTCTTGCTAGTTAGGGACAATTCACCATTTTTTAAACTTTTCTTTTTCTTTTTTATAGCTATAACATAAACATAAAATATACAAACCAAAATACAATTTACCGGTAATTGTGTTCCCCACCATCATAAATGGGACCTCTTGCAGTAATCTTCTTCCTCCATCTATATTCTTCTTTTATTATCCTCTTCTCCAGAACTGCATTGATTCTTGATTTGGAGCTTTCCCTTTTCCTCTTGTTAACACATATTCCAAAAATCTGCCCCATATTTAAAAAAAATATATATTCTTTTTCAACTCTCCTTTCTTAACCTTTAAATTACAAGTTAGTTTATCATTTATAGCTATACAGTGGTACCTCAACTTACGAATGCCTCCATTTGCGAATATTTCAAGGTACAAATGGCTCTGTTTGCAAAACGTTGCTTTGACTTGCGAACAGAAAAAAGGCAGGGAAAAAGGGCGGGAAATTCAAATTTCCCCTGCCTTTTTTTTGTTCCAATTAAACCGTTGGTGGCGAAGAGGCTGCTCTTTCACCCCAATGGTTAGGAAAAGGGACCCCAGGAGGTCTCCGATGGCGGCGGGGGGGGCCCC